CCACTGGCTACCATGCATTTGCATATGCAAAAATTAAGCGACCACTTGAGCGACCTTCGAAAGGGGGCGCACATGTAAGGAAAAAGCAGTGATACTTACTGGAGCTATGCAGCCCAGGACTGAAGGCCCTGATTTACAGCTATATCTCTGAAGCGTGGAAGCATCCCTTTAGGATCGCTGTCATAATACGCTTGTACAGATAGTCCGGTAATCTTGGTATGGTTGTTTTTCTAAAGCACGCTAACTAAACTTCCGGTGTTTGATGTAGCAGTGAGTAATGAAGCCCACAAGCTCAAGTCTCTGTCATACTTCCGACAACGGAAAAATCGATCCTTTCAAAACCTGTTAATTCATTTCGAAGGTACAAGATGGCACTCAATCAGAACCTCCGCAGCTTACTGAACCAATTTTTGGAAGAAGCAACTGGTAGCACCACCACCAAATGTCTACATTTTGCTTTTGTGTTTCTCGAGACAGTAGTTTTCCCCGCCAAAACTTTCGCGGGGCCGTACCTAAGATTCGGACGTACGTAAAAGTTGAATTCGAATACGTGGGATCGCACGTATGCAGAGGATTGCCATATAAATACAGAAAAAGATAAATGAAGGAAAAAAGAAGAGAAAAGGTATAAAAGTCTTTAATAATGCGTAGAGATTGGAATGTTCAGATCGATTAAGCTGTATACGTTTTAACACAACGCTACAACTACAAACATTATATAATTTACAAAGAACTAAGACAGAACGCATTTAAATAGTTGCTCATTTTAAGGGTATAAGTTTTGCGGCATGTATGGCAACAATTGGCGCTGTAACATCAAACTGGGCCACAATCAAGCAGCATGGCCTGTTCATATCGGCGCTGACGTCGTTCAGCCAAATAGCCGGTGTTTTCACTATGTCAACTTCTGGATATGTAAAAAATTTTTTAAATTTTTAAAACGCTAAAAAAAGCACATTTGCTACTCAAGATATAAGGCTTGGCAGTAGCTTCAACCGGCCTGTGAATGCGTTATAGGTAGCACCACGAACATCAGATCTTCACTCGATTGTGGGTCAGATCTTGGTAAACTTAATAGTTCCAAAGCAGATAACTGGACCACTATGTGGTACTCCTCTTCTCAGATACTTTTTTTGTAGACTAGTAAATGAAGGTGAGTAAAAGGGCAGACGTTCCAGAAGTGGCAAAATAAATGTGTTGCCGGAGAAATCACAACTATTTACCTACGTATGCATCCTATTTATACTATATAAAGTAGTATCATCCAGGATGTGAACGTTTCGGTCCATTAAGTTGTATACGTTCCAGCCTGGCATCTGTTCAGAGCGCACCTTCTTTTCAGTTATGTGCTTCAAAGTATGGTTGGCCAGCTGTATATTATGTTCATGCTGGCATGGGGTTTATTTTGTCGGAATATGGGTCTTACTGTTCCGGAACCAACCAGGTTTTATTTCCTTCTCAGTAAAGCTAATAGATATATTTGACTAAGCATTTTACAGGCAGAAGATGCGTGTTATGAACAAGATCAAACTTCAGCGGATCATCCACTGGTGAAACAGATCGAACTGGAA